AAGATATCAACAGTTTTTTTTTAAATTTAAGGTTTACACATAAAAAAGATCTCTTGAACTGAATTGATATTTAATTTAATTGATATTTTTATATTGTCGCTGAATTTCTATAAACTTAAAAAAACAAAAAAAAAACTCAAATGAAAAACCTAAATGGAAAAATATGTTAACTGAGCAAAAACAATAGGGTCCAACCCTCCCATGATCCTAAACCGGATAAGCAGAAGAAAATGGATAAACAGATGAATAAAAATGAGTGAATCGGTACTTGAATCATCTGAACCCCACACTTCTAATATTTGCAGAAATACAAATATTAAAATGTCGTTGTTGTTAAAATGCAATAACCTACAATCTAATAAACCGATTTTTTTCTAATCATTTAAACCAAAGATCTGAAAAAACAAACACACTGTTAGTCACATAACACACACGGTCCAGCCACCGTCATACCTTGACCAGCGTGCGGTAGCCATTCCCGGGTGTTTGTTCATCAAAGTCATAATGGTGATAGACGGCGGTGAAGCTGGTCACTACAGGCTCCAAGGCTCGACCATGTTCCTGAATCTGTTTCAGACAAGTGACCAGACGCTCAACAGCAGTGCCGTGTGGCAAACGAGAAGGTCCGCAAAAAACAGAGATGTTGTCTTGGCACACTTTCTCCAAGGTTGCAAACACAACCTCGTGGTCCATTTCTGGGGCTGTGAAGGAAAGAGAGAGAAAGAAGAAGAGACCACCGAGTGAAACTTGTCATTCATTTGAAGCTCTCTGTGTCGATTCAGCAAACCTCTGATGTGCGCTTTATACATCTAAATAAAAAACTTAGGGGAAACCCAAAGATCGCAATGATCTCATTGCCATCTCATGCTCATTGATTACACTATATTATCTGTTCAAGGGTTGAAGTTCAACTGACCTCATGAGAGCAGCTGACTGTTATGCAATAAAGAGCAATAAAGATAAGGAGAAAACGTGGCAGTCACAAAATAATAAACAAATCTGTGGAAGACTTCTGTAATGGCAAAGATGGTGCATCTCCAAATGAAAATGAAATGAAACACGCCCTTTATTATAATATAACGGGGAAGGTATCCAGTAGTGTACTTGCCATTGGGTCTGTGCTGCATCATATTGTCAGCAATTAATCTTGCAAAAAATGTTTAAGTAATATAACAATGTCACGTTGCAACATCTTTGCTATAACAACACTATTTACCTTCCCTAACAACGATACATTGCGTGATGTCTTCTGATGATTTAGCTGTGGGTCGGGGAACTCCAGGGCTCAAGGTCCAGTGTCCTGCAGGTTTTAAATGTGTCCTTGATCCAATACAGCCGATTTAAATGGCTAAATTACGTTCACAACATGTCATGAATAGGGATGGGTACCGGTATCCGGTGCACATTTCGGTACGAAATGTCATACACTTTGGATTCTAGCCAATCGTTTTATCTTTGCAAGCGTAGTAGGCGGGCCCAGGTACGTACGTTCTTTTAGAGCAGAGCTACAGATTAAAAATGCCCAAGGCGAAGCAAAAGATGCAAACTCAGCAGCCTGCAACAAGTGCTTTAAGCTTTAAGGTGATACTGTGCAAAGGAGGTAACACCTCGAATCTGATGAAACACCTGGCGACGTATAGCATTTTGTTAAAAGCCGAGAAATGCGCCGTATTTGATAGCTTGCTGCGAGA